CCCCCCGGGCCGAGCTGGGGATGGATTTTTTGTCCCGGAGTTTCCGGGAGCGGCTCCTGCTCATCCCAAATTCCTTCCAGCCCGAGCTGGGGATCGATTTTTCATCCTGGAGTTTCCGGGAGCGGCTCCTGCTCATCCCAAATCCCCTCCAGCCCGAGCTGGGGATGGGTTTTGTTATCCCGGAGCAGGTCCTGCTCATCCCAAATCCGCCCCCGAGGCGAGCTGGGGATGGGTTTTGTTATCCGGGAGTCTCCGGGAGCGGCTCCTGCTCATCCCAAATCCCCTCCAGGCTGGGCTGGGGATGAATTTTTTATCCCGGAGTTTCTGGGAGCGGCTCCTSCTCATCCCAAAATGGGTTTTGTTATCCCGGAATCTCCGGGAGCGGCTCCTCCTCATCCCAAATCCGCCCCCGAGGCGAGCTAGGGATGGGTTTTGTTATCCGGGAGCGGCTCCTGCTCATCCCAAAACGGGTTTTGTTATCCCGGAGCGGCTCCTGTTCATCCCAAATTCCTTCCCGGCCGAGCTGGGATGGGTTTTTTATCCCGGAGTTTCCAGGAGCGGCTCCCGCTCATCCCAAATCCCCTGCGGCCCGAGCTGGGGATGGGTTTTGTTATCCCAGAGTTTCCGGGAGCGGCTTCTGCTCATCCCAAAATGGGTTTTGTTATCCGGGAGCCTCCGGGAGCGGGTCCTGCTCATCCCAAATCCCCTCCAGCCCGAACAGGGGATGGATTTTTCATCCCGGAGTTTCCAGGAGCGGCTCCCGCTCATCCCAGAACGGGTTTTGTTATCCCGGAGTTTCCGGGAGCGGCTCCCGCTCATCCCAAATCCGCTCCAGCCTGGATTGGGGATGGATTTTTTAATCCCAACGCGTTTTCCCGCAGTTTTTATGGGAAAATTCTCCCTCTGGATGGGGATTTGGAGAGAGGGAATTTTTGCCGGTTTTTTTCCCAATCCCGGGTTTTTCTCCTGATTTTTTGGGAGGAAATAATATCCCGTGCGCTCATTAATTCCAGGAGAATTAATCTGATTAATTGGGTGTAGGAAGGGGGGGCGTTGATTAAATATGCAAATTAGTCAGCTGTAGGAATGTGGTGTGTTGATTAAATATGGTAATTATTCCGCAGTGTGAATGTGGGATGTTAATTTAATTTGCTAATTATCCGACTATATGAATGGAATATGTTAATTAAATACGCTAATTAATTTGCTGYATGAATGTGGGGTGTTATCCAAATATGCAAATTAGTCAGCGATAGGCGTGTTAAATGATAATTAAATATGCAAATTAATCTACCGTGTGAATASGGGYTSTTAATTAYRYATGYAAATTAAYCTGCCATATGAATGCAATGTGCTAATTAAATATGTAAATTTTCCAGTCGTATGAATGTGGGTGCTAATTGAATATGCAAATATCCAGCCATAGGAATGTGATAC